TCTCCTTGTATATCTCCATCAGAGCCCTTGGATGACCAGGTGCGCATTGTCAGTGCCCAGTAGCATTTTGAAAGGAATCTTTCTTTCTAAGCAGCAGGTCTCAATAGTGGGCTTCAGATAGTCAGTAAAACATGCTGTAAAGAAATGTGCCGTTACCCAGGCTTTGTTATTCCATTTATAGAGCAGATTCAATTAAACATAATTCTTAAGGGCCTTAGAATTTTCAGAATGGTAAATGAGCATTGGCTTCTGCTTAATGTCACCACTGCATAAGCACCTAACAAGAGAACCAGCATGTCCTTTGAAGTTTGAAGCCAGGCATCAACATTTCCTCTCTAGCTGTACAAGTCCTAAATGGCCTCTGCTTCTGATAGAAGACTGTTTCATCTGCATTGGAAATCTATTGTTTAGTGTAGCCACTTTGATCAATTATCTTAACTAGATCTTCTGGATAACTTGCTGCAGCTTCCACATCAGGACTTGCTGTTTTACCTTGTACTTTTATGTTATAGAGAGACAACTTCTTTCCTGAAACTGCATGAACCAACCCCTCTTAGCTTCAGACTTTTATTCTGCAGCTCCCTCACCTCTCTCAGTTTTCATAGCATTAAAGAGATTTAGGACCTTGCTCTGGGTTAGGCTTTAGCTTAAGGGAATGTGATGACTGGTTTGATCTTCTTTCTAGACCACTCAGACTATTTCCATATCAGCAATAAGGCTGTTTCATTTTCTTATCGTTCATACGTCCACTGGAGTATCACTTCTAAAGGTTCCTTCCAGAACTTTTCCTTTGCTTTTACAACTTTGCCGTTTGGTGCAAGAGGCCTAGCTTTTGGCCTGTCTTGGCTTTCAACATGCTTTCCTCACTTAGCTTAATCGTTTCTAGCTTTTGATTTAAAGTGAAAGGCATATGACTCTTCCTTTCATTTGAACACTTAGAGGCGATTGTAGGGTTATTAAATGGCCTAATTTCAATATTATTGTTGTGTCTCAGGGAATTGGAAGACTCAAGGAGAGGGAGAGAG